CTTTAATCAGCTCTCCAGGACACTCTTCAGCAGGAAAGTCTCCATTCAAGTTGCAGCATGAAACTTTCAGGCCCAATAGACATGGGTCTACTTTTTCAGTATCACAATCCCCAGGCAGCAGCCCATAGGGAACAAAAGTAGCCACCCTCCAGAAGGAAGGACAGTGTCAGCATCAATTCAGAGATGATTTTAGGATCCACAGCCCAGTGATACATAGTTAGAGTTATGTTAATAGGGTACTTGAATGCATTTTTAAGATTGAATTCCTGAGTTTAGTGCCACTTTAGGCCATAGAAAATAATGTGAATGCACCACTGAATAGCTGTCTGTTTTTTACACAAGACTTTGGTCCTGTATGTCTTAATTAGATCTATTGTTACTTTTTTCCTTTGTTTGGCTATGGTTCATGTGAAGTTAAGGATTTATTTTCTGTTTTCTACTCTGAAATAATCAATAAACAGTTGCAGAGATTTTCCAACATACTTGAAAAATAATCAGCTAATATCAGGTACTTCTGCTGTATGCATGCACATTATTGTACAGGTTTTATTACACACACTTAGCAGTTGTCAGAGATGATGATTAAATCCCACACGTACTTTAAAAATAAGGCATATAATATAAGTTGCATACTTTTAAATAGGGTTGCACAGATACCAAGTACAGTACTCGGTACAAGTACGAGTACATGTACCGATACTTTTGAGCTCCAAGACTACACTAGAGAAAAATTAAAAAATTAGAAGGCAGCTGTCATTTGTAAGGATCACACGGAGCTCCTGGGATTTGTACATCTCTGTTTTAATGTACAATTTTGTTTTTATAACTATAAATAAAGGGATGCACAGATACCAGTTTTGCGAGTACGATTACTGGTACTTGCCGAGTACTTACAAGTACGAGTACTGATACATTTTTGTTTATTGTCATGTGACAGTTTTTCTAAAACAATACAGACTAATGATTTCAGGACAGTGGTGGAGTGCCAGAGCCAGGTCCCAGCTGCAACCACTGCAACCCTGGTAGTTCTCATGAAAATGCCAAGTATCTGTACTGGTACTCAAAAAGTATCTGTGCATCCCTACTTTTAAACAGACATTGTGACATTGTTGATATTTTTTCCATAGTAATGGCCTTTTTATTATCACTAATTATGAATTTTAATGGGATTAGTTATTTAAGTTGTCTTATTATGCAGTCTTTCTTTTTTGCTTCTACCATTGGTCACAGTATTGATTTGCTTCTGCCTAATGACTTTGCAAGCAACTGTCAGTTTCTCATTGCCTTTCCTACATATCTCTAGTATTGTGCATGCCCTTTTAATCCCAGTTTTATTTAACAATGGAGATGCATCATTGCTTGGCAAGTTTGTTTGAGTTTTTGCACACATATGTGTACACATATGCAAAACTTATTTCTAGTCTCCACTAACGGTAAGCTCATTTGATTAACAATAGCAAGATTACTGAGTTGGGTACATAGCCCATTGTTGCGCTCCAATGTTCTATTTGTACTTATCTACTTTTAGTGTATTACTTTGTATATAATTTCATGCTATTTCTTGTCAATACAAATGACTGAATCCGAACTGGTGTTATAGATAGAGACACTATTCAATGTAAATAGCAAGCCTCAGTGTCATTGTACATGGGCTCTTAGCATCACAGGCAAACTGAAGGCAACCAGACAGACCTTAGGGCACTTTGATTTTCGCTTGAATTTCGAAAACTTTCACCTGTAGATATTCATAAATGGAAACTGTGTCACTGAATGCAGTTCAGACTTTTCCTTGCTGTTTGTGTGGCTTGGCTTATACCCTAAGGTAGAGGTAGCCAACCTCGGCACTTCAGCTGTGGTGAAATTACAAATCCCACCATGCATAGTGGTATTTGTAGTTCTACCACAGCTGGAATGCCGAGGTTGCCTGCCCCTGCTCTAAGGCATTGTAATGAGCAGTAGGGAAGTGCAGGAAGCCGTAACCTACAGCAACCAGCTTCAAATTCACTGAGCCCAGAAAAAGTGATTCCTCAGTGGTTACTTATCTTGTTGTACAAATATTTTTATTGAGAGAATACAAACATACATTCCATCCAAGAGGAATGATTACAGCTAGGTTAATTTGGCAAAAAATGACCTTACATCATTATTATGGCACATTGGTAGTCCATAGTGAGTCATCCAGGGATGAGTCAATGATAGACAGTGAATCAGCAAATCGAAGCATAAAGAGATTAAAAAAAACAATAAAACAAACCCCCCCCCTACCCTCCCAGAATCAGTGATACTAAACAAGAGGCACAAACGTGATAAGTGCATAGATTCTGCAGGCAAACCGATCTTCTTGGGACCTGAAGTGGCGTCGACCGCGACCTGCTGCAGGATGCTGACAAGGCCATGTAAGTAAGGGAGAAAGAGCTATAGGCTATACGCCATGCAATCATACTATAACATGAGCGGCAGGCTCTAATAAACAGTGGTTACTTATCTTGGCTCCTTGCACTGTCTTACAGAATAAGCCAACTACAGTGTTTCACGAAATAAATATTTTTAGTGTCAAACAGATCTTGTAATTAGATATCTGCAAACTTTAAAAAATATGCTCAACGTCTGATTGTTACAGGGTGAATCTGAGCAGTCCTCCAATTCATTATGATGCATAGGTAGAAATGAATTAACTTTTAATCCTCACCACACTCAATTCTTTAGTGGATAATCAAGGTGATCTATCCAGTCGGCTAAGCTCCTCTCTTTGTGTAGTGCATATTAAATGTTTTGACTACCGAAGGGCAATTATATTTAATGCTGATGACTCACATTTGCCATGCTTGAGTCCCTGGTATTTACTGCACCATAATCAAAATGCGTTTAGTAAATTTTTATTTGCTTCCTTATTTTCCTTTATCTCACCTAATCTGTGTATAGTCTGTTTTCTTTTAGATTTGTTAATGTCTGTGTCACGGATGTACATATATATTATGAAATGTATTCAAAATGTTTTTATGATGCTGAACAAAAACTTCTTTCATGCATAAATAAGAATTATGTTCCTAGTTATATCAAATCAATTTGTCAATCAATGGATGTATTATTTTATATATCTTTTTTATTAGAATTATAGTAAAGTTGTTGGGATTGTTTGTGTAAAATATATGATACTAGTGGTGACATCTCTACCAAGTGCTAGGTGGCCATCTCTCCACAGTGCCCTTCTAGACCTTTAACAGATCCAACACTTCAGAATAGTATATATGGTGAATAAAGGTTTTTGACAATTTTTGCAGGGATTGTACAATGAATGGCACATACTACAGGTTATATAGGGGTGATTTGTACACAAAAAACTATCCAAATAATGATGAAAGATGTTGAATGATGCTTGTTGCGGCAATATTGGCTGTGTTCCACAATGAAGCTACATGATTGCTGTGCACTTATAACATTCTTTTTTATGCTTGCATGCGAGTTTGAATGCGGCTGATATATTTGGTAGTGTTTGTTATAGCACAATCACTGAATGTACAAATTTGTAGTAGCCGGTAGTAGTTAATTACATATTTGCCCTTTGCAATGCAAGTTTTGACTAAGATTAGGACATAGAGGGCATCATCTATATTAATATGAGGATACACTGCATGAGGAAGCTAACAGCCTTCAACCCGTGAATGTTGTGGTACTCACTGCTCTATATTGTTTTCTAACAACGCTGCAGGCTGCTTAACAATTTTTACCCTGCCCAGAGCTGTGTATTGTATAGCCTTATGGACCTTATGAAATAATTATTTAGTTTTTCTAGTATCTTGTTCCATCATTTGACAACAATGCTTAACTTATATAAACTCTTATCCTTAAATAATAGGGCAAAGAGCAATGTGCTAGCTGCAGATATCCAGGGCAACTGATTGGTGGGCATCTTTTCTGATATCTGTTCGCTCTGGGTTACAACTCACAATTCCTCTTTGAGTATTTTTATAATAATCTCTAGATCTGTATTAGAAAACTTTTCACTAACTAAATAAGCGCAATATGTGTTTATGTGTAATGGAAGTTTAAAGAAGAACTCCAGTGTTTTTTTCAAATTAACCCCTGCAGTGGTGTGAAGGGCCTTGCAAATTGTTTATAAATAGCTCCTTTAGAGAACAAATGTTCTGCCCTGCATACCCCATACAGTTGCATTGCATGCATCTGCATTTTTATGCAGCACAATGGATTACAATGTATGGTAGCATGTTGCAAAACAAATGCGGTGCATAGAGTTGAATGAAGTGAAGATAAATTAAGTTTTTTTAAAGTTTCAATAAAGTTTAAAAAAAAAAAAATAACATAAACACCATGATGCGTTGTTACAACACATCGCAGCACAGATGCACAATGCACACCAGTGCGAATGCATTATATGCACCATAACGCGTGCCAGTTCTTAGTTATTCATTAAAAATCAGCCACAGCCTACATAGAAAGCCTCCATCCTGTCAGTATGCTGCAGAGTAGGGAACTTGTTCTCTGTGGGGAAGCAGTGATCTCTTTAAGGGGCTCCGACACATCCCCTGATGATTCAGAGCTCACCAATCTGCAGGGAACATGAGCTTTGTTGATTGCAGAGCTATAGGTCTGGCTCAGTAGAGGGCATGTCGATCCTCTGCAATGAGACCACTGCTTCCCCACAGAGAAGAAGGGCCCACTTTGCAACTGCAGAAAGGGGACAGACTTTTATACTCAGGCTCTGGCTGCTTTAGGAAGAAAACAAACACCTTTTATTTTGATGGGCCTGGAATGTATTTAGCTGATTTAAACAGAGGGTTCAATTGGACTTTAAATTTGAATGTGCAAAAAACCTGACATGTTCATGTACTGTGTCAGTTTGTAATTATTTTTATATCTATATTCCAGGATAGAGTGCTTTATGCTTATATTCTATATTCACTAATAGGGTTAATATTTATTAGTTCCTCTGTTTGTTATGCATTTCACAAGTTCCTTCTAACTATGTACGCTTTCTGAAGGGCGAACCAGGATTCCTTGGGCCTCAGGGAGAACCTGGCCTACCAGGCCTGCCAGGAACTAAGGTAAGAGTTCATGTATTTTTAAGTCTGGCCATAGATGCAACAATCTCATCAATTAGAAGTAAACATCTGATCACTGCTAGATGTCCATTGCTTTAGATGTACCTTCTCTAGTTGACTGGAGTTGGGCTTTTAAAAAAATTTTTTGAATTAATTATATAGTGCAAAGGCATATTGTTGATAGTAATCTATAACATCCGGTTGAAAAAAGTTTTCAGCAGCTCAGATTGAGATGCCTAATGAATTCTGATATCACATTAGTTGCTATAAGCTAGGGATGCACCGATGCCAAGTACCGTACTCGGTACAAGTACAAGTACAAGTACATGTATTGATACTTTTCGAGCTCCAGGACTAGACTAAAGAAAAATTCAAAAGTTAGGAGGCAGCTGTCATTTGTAAGGAGCACACGGAGCTCCTGGGATTTGTACATCTCTGTTTTATTGTATAATTTTGTTTTTATAAATATAAATAAAGGGATGCACCGATACCATTTTTGCAAGTACACGTACCGATACTTGCTCAAGTACTCACAGATACAAGTACTGATACATTTTTGTTTATTGTCATGTGACAGCTTTTCTAAAACAATACAGACTAATGATTTCAGTACAATGGTGGAGTGCCAGAGCCAGGTCCCAGCTGCAACCGCTGCAACCCTGGTAGTTCTCATGAAAATACCAAGTATCGGCACTGGTATCTGAAAAGTATCGATGCATCCCTACTATAAGCTATTGCATTTTTTTCATTAAGACTAAACATCCATGTTAAATATATGTTCTTTGTATACATGTCCTTTCTGCTTTATTAATTTTTAAGATTTATTGCTTCTGTATAATGTTTTACATTAAGCAGTGTCATAACAATGATAGTACAAAAGCTATATCAATCATATAAAACAATTACATTTAAAGTGCAACTAAAGCCAAAACTTTGGATAGAGAGAAGAGGGTCTAGAACCCCTGTCAGTTTTGTATTCCTGTGTCCCCCATTAGGGAGATTCCCCCTCCATTTTTCCTGGTGACAGTTATCACTGAAAATAAAAGAATCTCAAATCTTGGCTTGTCATCAGAACAGGAATACATGGGAAATCTTGCAATGGGGCACTAGTTCTGGGGACCCTGCTGACCTCCAGGGATTTCCCTCTCTTTGGATGGATTTCTTCTCACTTCCTGTTGTGGCTATGGGACAGGAAGTGAAGGGAAATCTTCCCAATGGGACGCAGATCACAAAAAAAGATGACAGGGATTATAACCCTCCCTTACTCTATCCAAAAAAAAAGGTTTTGTTTCAGTTCTACTTCAATGTATTATTCAAAATACGGAGATAATTTAATGCAGCTTATAGTGTAAAGAACCTTAGGACGCATCTCAATATCCCTTTGCTGAATTTAGTCTCAAAAGCGCAAAGGTGAAAGCAACAAGAAAAAAAAAAGGAAAAAGTTATTCAAATGTGTTAATAGTAAGGGCTGTTCATACTGCTGTATTGCAGCATAAACACATATTTAATTTGCGGTATTTGCATGTTAGCCAGCCCATTTATTTTAAATAGACTGCCCATGCACCACAACGCATTAACAACGGGACATGCAGCAATTTTTCAATAAAGCACACCACAACATGTGAAACATCTGTGCCTTCTGGTGTTCTGTACCATTAGGGTGCATTGCCTACGTGTGTTAGTGTACCATTAAAACTGAAGGGCAGTTGAACCATCATCTGCACTTAACATAATGTGTTACCATGTGTTTTAAGGCGCATTACCCCAAAGAAAGATTTGGTGCTGCCCTATCTCTAACTGCTGCCCTTGGCTTTGATCCACAAATGCCAACCGGGTAAACACAGTCCTGCTTTTATATGGCCTCTTTTAGGGATATCTGGTAATCTGGTAAAAAACATGCAGATCATACAAAGAAGACCATCAAAATATGCAGTGAGAGGTCAGTGAGAAATGAGATCTCATGCTAAGTACCTGACCAGACCTGATTAATTCATGCAGATTATATCGGCAAATATTCAACAACAAAAATACAGAATTAAGTGAAATTAAATGCAACATTAAAAAAGTAAAACGTTAGCACTTCATGAGATAATAATTGATCTAAAACAAATGATTTTGATCAAATGTTTGAAATAGTTCAGGGATTGGTCTGTGTCAAGAGGTTAAGACTTTTTATTTTGAGAAAAGTCAGTTTGTTCACTAGCATGTAGATCTTTATCATTTCCAATCCTTGAATGTGCCAAAAGCAAAAAAAAGAAAGTGCTGCTTTGCTGATTTGTATTTTTACTTTGCTGTAGTGTTTATTTTCCTAACAATATCTATTTATAAGCATTTTTTTTAATGAAAAGGAAACTAAATCATTATGTTTGAAATTAGATCCAGCTTGCAATTACTTGCAAATTAATATACTGTTTTAGAATATATTACCAGAAAAATTTCGCTCAGCAGCCAACAATGATCCAGAAATTGCATTTTTCTGGCTTAGCAGCTATACACATTAGATAATTAATTATAAGTTTCCCATATAAAGGCAGATTATTAAGGCAGATTAGGCAGTTTTAAACACAGTCTTCTATTAATCAGTCTGTGCATTGCAAAAAATGATTCAAAGGTCCTTGACAGCCCTCAGAGTATGTGGCAGTATTATGAATACTTGCATATAGAATTTCCGTTTGAGTCTTGCACTGCACCTATGATTAAAATTCACGTGCCACATCAATCAGCAGGTCATATAGAAGCATTACCAAATCACATTATAATATTGAGTTAAAAGTCCATCTTTCCTCTCATGAATAAAATCTACTGCTCCCTCGTGTGCCTCAAAGCCTAGGCAGGCTAGATCACATTGTCTCTGACTGTAAGGCTAGTCTTTCACATTAAGATTCATTACTCAAATCCTTTCACAATCAAATAGGAACGGGACTTGGGTACTGTCCTCATTTAGATGGAGATTCAGAGGATATACATTTGTCTCTGAAATCTTCTATCTGCACTAGAGTTTATGAAACTAATTATAAAATTCCCACACGATAGTACAGAACTTTTCAGATGGTTTCAGATGGATGTTGGCATTGCCAAACAGGTGAGGGCTCATCATTTCAAATTTTTTGGTCTTGTCCTAAAGTGTCAGAGTTCTGGTGCACTGCCAGACAACTCTCCCAAAGATTTACTGATTACCATGTACCTTTTGAACCATCATTTTTTACTACATAACATTACAATACCTATGAAGGCACTTTTTCAATGCAGCTAAACTGTGCAGCTAAACTGTACATCCAAACTTGTGGTTAAATAAGGTGGAGGACCTTAGACAGATAGAGATGCCGACCTATTCTATTAGGAAGCAATCGGAAGTACACAAGACTCAGCATTACTGGATCAGCGTTCTGTTCTTTGATGAAGGCAAATGCCTTGTAGCAGGCTTTTTCTAAGACTCCTGTCAGGTGCTAAGAAACTTCTCCTTTCACAAGAAGGATTAGTGTCTTCCCAGATTCCCCTATGCATTTTGGCTTTCTTGCTGTACTTCTTTCTAGACCCTTTACCATTTGGGTTCTTTTTTTGACTGCTGGTGTTCTGGGCTCCCCTTCCATTTCTTCCTCTCTCTCTCATTATGTTTAGTCCCTATGGAACTTCCTATGGAAGTTGTTGTTTCTCACTGGTGAAGAAGTACTCCCTTTCCCCCCTACCTTTCTCTCTTCATCTTTCATGCTTTTCTGCTTTCTCCCTCCTCGTGCGGCTGGGGATGGTGGGCTTATGGGCTATGCAGAAAGTACTACAAAAAGAATCAAGGTTTATAAAACATAAGATTGTTGACAATTAGCTGATACATTTCAGCGCAAATAAAATTTAAAAAAACAGACTACAGTTCTGTAACAAAAAAAGGGGGTTCTCTCCAGGGGATCCGAATTTTAAAGAAAGCACCTCGTTAAAGATATAGTGGGTCTATCTACCGTACCCGTGACCCAGAAAACGGAGAGGGTTGGCCATAGGTCTAGCCAAACCAAGAAGGTCACTTAACGAGTTGGGACAGAAAAAAATTATATATTAAATGTATTTTATTTTTACAAAAATATCAAAACTATCAAAAAGGTAGTTAAAGAGACCACCGTCCATTACCTAACGAGTTAAAAAATATACATAGTCTGCAGACTTCAAGACATACATAAATAGGATGGATGTTCCACATAGAATTAATCAGAATTCATATGTGATGGCGTAACAGGACTCAGTGTAGCCGTGCAATAAATGGTGTCATGAACTAACTCCGATTCATGAGTATAAGGCAACAAAATTAATAGCAGCTAAGGAAAACAACTGATTGATATCAAATCAAGAAGGTTAATAGGCACTTCAGAAAAGTATCAGACAAAAAGTTTTCTTTAGCTCTTGGCACTAATGGCTGCCAGCTGAACAATCCACTTGCTGTTGCACACTCACAGTTTTCAACAGTTTATCACAGTTTTTTACACAGACTTGAGGGGCTGCTCATCCAAGGCTCTGGGGCTTCCACCACGAATATAGAAAACAAAAAGGGAACAGAGCGCCACCTCCGTGTGTAAAATCGTTTATTACAATAAATAAAACACGAGATAAAAGTACTCACAAACAAACGTTTTCATCAGGCTTTAACAACAAGTGAGAGGCCACACTGTCTGTTAACCCAACATGGTATATCCCCGACCATGTAACACGGTAGTCTCCGGTCACATCACCGTCCACCGACCGCAGTCAGCCAAGATTGACGCGTTTCAGGGGCAAGCTCCCTTCCTCAGAATCATAGCTTGCTTTCTCTGAGAGTGGTGTATAAGACTGGAAACCGACCAATTAGAGAAAATGTCTCCATTGTGACTAGTCTTGGAGTGATTGGCTCGCCCAATGATCGCACAGGCTCTGGCTAATTAATTAATAAATCAGCCCGACATTCAATTCCTGTGGAGATTTCAAATGCATGGGGTGATCTTATATTATGAGCTAAGCAGTACTTCAAACTTAGCACTGCTTATTACTCGGCAATCTGTATCCAGTCTACCCACATCTCTCAAAAAATTGGAATAAGTGAACAATATAGTTCATAAAACATGTTACATTGGTGATTGCACTGTCATAGATGAATTTGAAAATAAAAAATTGAAGATAAAAATTATTTATATATAAATTGTAACAAAAACTTTTTAAGACCAATAAAATGCCCCTACATAAGGCTGGCCAATACAACATGGGCCATCACATGTTGTATTTCCAATTAAGTATTTTCCAAAAGCCGACTATAAATAGTACTGCTGTGATGCCGCAACAGTACTCAGCCTTTTAAAAATGGCAGGAGGGCAAGGTATTTAACATTTAAGTCCTCAGTTTTGTATAAACTATATATGCAATATAATGCTCCATTTCTAATGTTAACTGTACACAAAATCATTATTTATAATATACTGGCAATATAATATATAAATATAAATGTAGTAGATTGCTACTACACACTCTGTTGTTTGTTTCATGTATTTTTTTTCATTACATGTTCCAATTTAAACGTTATTTCTTTTAATATTAACACTTCTAGGGTGAACGTGGAGAGCTTGGTCCTCCAGGAAGAGGAGAAAGAGGTCTTCCAGGAATTCTAGGCCCAAAAGTAGGCTCCTTTCCTTTGCTCAACCTTTGTCTTCAAACATGATAATACAAACCATAATACAAATTATAATTTAGCTTTGGGCTGTGAGAAAGACAGAATTATACTGTCAGAATGATTCTTACCTGTACAACACATCTGTAGGTCCTACATACCAAGATCCATTCTCACTTTTACAGTAACAAAAACTTTTTAAGACCAATAAAATGCCCCTACATAAGGCTGGCCAATACAACATGGGCCATCACATGTTGTATTTCCAATTAAGTATTTTCCAAAAGCCGACTATAAATAGTACTGCTGTGATGCCGCAACAGTACTCAGCCTTTTAAAAATGGCAGGAGGGCAAGGTATTTAACATTTAAGTCCTCAGTTTTGTATAAACTATATATGCAATATAATGCTCCATTTCTAATGTTAACTGTACACAAAATCATTATTTATAATATACTGGCAATATAATATATAAATATAAATGTAGTAGATTGCTACTACACACTCTGTTGTTTGTTTCATGTATTTTTTTTCATTACATGTTCCAATTTAAACGTTATTTCTTTTAATATTAACACTTCTAGGGTGAACGTGGAGAGCTTGGTCCTCCAGGAAGAGGAGAAAGAGGTCTTCCAGGAATTCTAGGCCCAAAAGTAGGCTCCTTTCCTTTGCTCAACCTTTGTCTTCAAACATGATAATACAAACCATAATACAAATTATAATTTAGCTTTGGGCTGTGAGAAAGACAGAATTATACTGTCAGAATGATTCTTACCTGTACAACACATCTGTAGGTCCTACATACCAAGATCCATTCTCACTTTTACTTTGACTGTGGTGGTATGAGCAGAGATTGAAGGAATGCGAAAAGATTGGAAAGTAAACCCCATATGATGCAAAGAAAGCATACAGAAAGTGACAGCAAAATTCTGCCAGACTAGTCATTCTTTTACTCTCCTTTCAAAATTTCTCACTCAAGCCGACTCCCTCCATCTGTCCAACCAGTCCACCATAACCTCCTCTCTATGGCTTTCCCGGCTGCAGTCACACACCTGTCTCCCTCATGTACAATGCAGAGTAAGTTGGTCTGCAATGTACGTAATGATGCCTTCGGACCAACCACAGCCCGGAGCACCAGGGAGTGGAGGAAAGCGCTGGAGGCTGCTGGAAGTGGGAGTTAGGGTCAGTAATATCTCCTCTTCTTGTACCTACTAGACCAAATGAGCATTTACCCTTGCAGTGTGTGTGCGCATTGGGGTCAGGCACTGAAACGATTTATTTGTCTTGTGCCCAAAGTTGGGCTCTTAAATGACTAACACGTAAAGCAAGTGATGCCTGCAGATACCTAAAGCAGATTTTATTCCCCCCTCTACTCTGTGCACATATCCTGTGTTTATTCTAAGGAGGCAAAGATCCAGCAATTCCAGTATGTGTTTGACAATATTTGCCCCCTACACTTTCATTGGCTCATCACTATTTACTGGCTGTCTCACTGGCCAATAAAAATGTGCGGTAGGGGGGAAGAATGTTCCATCACTACGCAGAAGTGTAAGAGCTTTGCTTATTTAAAATGGCCTTTAAGATAGGGCAATCTAAGCTGGTAAAATCAGGTATGTGCAGGTGCTTCTAGATGCCTGCCCTTTGTATGTACCTGCATGTTCAATTTAATTTTGCAGTCACTTTCAGTTTAAGTTTCTGGGATTCAGATCAGTGACAAATGATTCCTGATTTCTATGCTTTGCATCAATAATCATTCATACTCTACTGAATAAGTACCTTTGTTTTTACTTTGCTGTCGCACAGATATAATGATGACAGGTGAAAGTAATTTTCTATTCATTTGGCCATAAGTAGTAATTATTACATATGCTTTACTCACATATGATTGTAATTATTGTCTGGAAAGAGTGTATCCACAAGGCCTGCTAGTATAAATCTTATTGGAGTAATAAATAACATAATGATTGCACTTAAAGTTCATAGTGGCTCTATGGTCCCCATCTATTAGCTTCAGACATGAACTTCTGCCTTGAACTGAAGCTATAATATTTCTACTTGCCATATGACAAACATCCTATGCATATTTCAAGCTCTTCTAAGGTCTTTTAAGGTAGTTGGGCCTCAATGTTTTCATTTATAATCTTGGCAGAAAGCCTTAGGACAACTGGTACATTTCTGTGCAGTTAATCGTATGTACTGTATTTCCCTGCCCATTTAATGATACTAAGACAACCAGGAAATTGGTACTGTAATTTTTGGGAGCTGCTGCAACACCTTATTTTAGGAACACCCGCCGCCTAATTTTCATGAATGTCCTATTTAGCATGTAGTAAACCTAAAGTTTGACTGTACCCAAGCTAAAAGTTTTATAATTGTACTTCCAGATGGCAAAACATACCTGAATTGTGTACCATATCATTAACGGGGCCAGATTTTTTCTTTCTGCCCCCCAAGGAAAATTGACTTGTGCTGACCTCCTCCTAGCCTTATTATCGCAATAATAAGATCAGACATATTAGCCACACAATGCATGCCAAAACTGGAATCAGAGTGTCTGTAAGAGGCAATTTTCCCACTCGGCATGAGTGCACCTAGAACCAACAAATGAAAGTGGTTTCATTTTAGGTCAAAGCGTATAAATCCAGGGTGGGTCAACTGTAAGTACACATTACATTATTCCACCAACAAAAATCTATAAAAAACCTATATCAGCAATATAAGTGGTGGGCTCTGTGATACCTATGACTGCTCTACCCATTAGACCACAGCTTACAGCGGCTTTGCATAAAATCCAGCCCTGATCTATCATTTGCATGTTTTTAGCAATGTATAGCCATTGGCAACTGTATGCAGCAGGGGCTGTTATGGTAATCAGTGCCCCCTGCTCTCCTGCACAGTAGAAATCATCCTTGCCTCCTCTAGACAATAAAGAGCTCTACAGCACCCATTCCCTGATTTGGAGTGTGTGGGAGAGCTGGGAGGCGTGGCGCTGTCCACACTGATTACAGTCACAGCATAGAGCGGCCAAGAGCTGTGCAATAATTGTACTTCATACTAACACCCTGCAGATTAATGATCAGAAACACAATTGATAGTATGTTTCACCATCTGAAAATAAAAAAGCTTGGGAACAGATCGGCTTTAATACATTTGAGCCATAACTTGCCTTGCTAATGTATCAAATGCTAAGCAGCAACTTTTATACTTCTGTTACATTTAGTAAGTCTGTATAAAAACATTTGAAGTGAGACCTGTACAGATCCCAATTATAGCACAGCTACACCC